ATCGGCTTCCAGTAGACTTGGAAAAATCAGACCTAGCGACCCTAACGATTAGCAAATCGAGGGAGGAGTGAAGGAGGGGGTTCTGTGTGCCGCCTTTAAATGCCGACTTAATGAGGTAAATCTTTTATATAAAAAGATTGCGACCAAAAAAACAACCGGAGAAGAAGCGAAAAAAAGATCCGAACTTTATTTTCCAAAATATTAATACACTTCGCTCTACGAAGAAGTATTAAAAAATTTTCGCCAGCGAATTGCCGACCGGCAAAAAAGTTATAAAAGAGTCGGACAGACAATTAACTAGATCACAAAAAATCTTCAAAAAGACCGGAAAGAAAAATTCTCGGCAGAAACCAAAGACAGAAGCTTACTGAAAGTCAAAAACAAAGTCTTGTCAAAGTTCAAAGAAAAAATTTTACCAGAGAACCAAAAAATTAACAAGAAAACCTAACATTAAACTGCCAAAAAAGACAATTAAAAAGAGCATTTGCCACATTCACCAATAATAATTCATAGAACTAGAAAATTTTGGGAGATTTTGACACCTTTGAGGGGATTTTGGCTCCCAAAAGACGCTCAAAGGGGCAAAAGATACCAAAATGACGATAAAAATATAAATATAGAAATTAAAATATATAATATAGATGTCAACAGGTTGGATGAGACACCTATAAGGAGCAACCAACATTCAAGGCGTTGCCAACAACCAGCGTTGTGAGATTGCTCCAAAATTGAAATCTAGTTAGTTAAGCCAGTGAAAGGTTTCATTGTAGTTTCCAACACTGAAACTGACTAATTAGATTTGAGTTAGGTTGAAAAAGAAAATTGTAAAATTATAATATAGTTAAATCTATATGGTTCATTTCGAAATGAGTTAATAATGTTGAAGTTGTTAGGCTCGGCTGCTTGGTAGGTGATGGGGTGTTGTAATAAATATGCCTAATGTCAACCTACCAGCCTATCAGGCAACCAAGCTTAACAACTGATATGACATTAGGCAAAATTAACAGAGAAAAGGATTTTTTTTATTATCCTACTTCTATAGACTTTAAAAAAATAGAAAAACAGCAAAAGAGGGGAACTTTTGCGTTTAATTTGCCTAATTTAGGCAAAAAACGCGACTATTGAAGATTGAAGATTGAAGATTGAAGATTGAAGATTGAAGATTGAAGATTGAAGAGAACACACTCATTTATATATGAGTGCGTCCAAAACATACGCATATGAAACTCAATGGAAGTGAAGCATCCAAGGAGAATCAAAACCTCATCCTATCGTCCTTACAACTCTCGACGAAATTAAAAGTGGGGAGGAGACTCCATTGGAAAAATTACAAGCAAAAAAGCAAAGAGGAGCAACATCCAAAATGCTTTTTAAAAAAAGAAAGGGGAATTTATTGTCATTTTTTTCGTTCTTTTCTTTTTTTCAAGGAAACAGAGAGGAGAATATTTTCGTTTTTTTTACTTTTACTTCACTTTTCAAAAGAAAGGAATGTTGGCATTTTTTTATTAGGCGGGGGGATAATTTTCGAAAGGGGGGAACAGATATCTAGAATAAACTGCTTCTCCCTCTGGGAAACTTTCTCTGTGTTCCCACAACCAGCATAGAACGGAGTTAGTAATTCTAACCCCATTTAGCAAACTCTATAAGAATTTGAGTCCATCGGCCTTCTGTTGATAGTTTTTAAACAAACCACAAACCAAAAATGAGACTGAAAACCTTTGAGGGT